TAGTTACTTTATCATAATTTTAATTTTTTAGTTCTTTTTTGAATAATACGTTGAATAAATTTAATGAATTTCTATCAAGTAAATGTGTTTATTCCATACCTCATAAGAAGTTAATAAAAAACCTTTATGAACGTTACCATGATAATGTTCAAGTTGTGCTAAACTTCAGCCTTAAAAGTCAACAAACTATTCAATTTGAAATAATTATTAACGCCTTAAAACAACAATAAATAGTTACAAATGTCACCTTGTCAAATAAGTACCTTAAAGACGGTTCAAGGATTTAACGTTTAATTTTTTATAATGGGACACCTTGAAGACAAATTTTACATTTTTTGTTAACCGTTGCTAAACACATACTACTGGCGTGGTATTTCACGTAAATAATAAAGTAATATAAGTCCATTAAATGCAATTTAAAACTTTTGAGGGTTGTTGCGCTTTGTTCGGTTTGTTTAGAACAATTTTCAGTGAAACAGGTGAAATTTTTAGATAAATGATCGTGTCTCCAAAATGCCAATGCCTATGTGCGGTGTATGTTTTGCCTTACTTGCATATACATATACATAGGCAGAAAGAACATAAAATTTTGTATAACAATATTATCAGCACCAATAGAACAACATTTTATTAAAAAAGTTCTAAATTTAGACTTAATAAAGATATTCCATATTTATTTTAAAATAATAAATAAAAAGTTATTATTTACCATTTGTGATAGAATACTTTCACTTTTCCATACTAATGTTTCTTATTGTTTATATGACAATTCCATACGAATACAGATTACGGTAGGTATATTTAGAGTTCTTCGCCGTAGTATAGCAAATCTAGAGACGAAAAAACGTTGTTAACGGTCTAGTACGCTTATTTGAATATGAACAGTAATTTAGGATTACTGTGCATACTAATACGAAACAATTAAAAACGGTTAAACTGATTGTCACAAACAATGAGTAATGTAACTTTTATTTTTATGAGTATTGTTAATGATTTCCATAAATTTAAAATAATTCTACAAAATTCAATACCTATATGTTTATAGGTATACTGTACTCAACGTAAATACGTTCACGGGGAAATTACAATTTTCAATTGAAAATGACTGAATTTGCTGTGGAAATAGTAAAACTTGTAATAATCTCATTTTTGACATGTTTCTTTAAAAATTATTTCAAGTTTCTTAATTATTACAATTAAATTTGTAATATCAATTAAAATACCTAGTAAATTTATTTCTGCTTATTTAATCTATCTATTTAATTTTTATTATTTTCGCTAACGAAGCAAGGGGCTAATGGGATATATTGTAAATATCGCCTTAATGTTTAGGTAAATTTTCGTTTTTTATTCTCTCCGTGTTTATCAAAATTGCAATTAAAACATTTGTATTCATTATTAACTACATACTTTTTCAATATATTGGAGAAAAAATAATTCATTATTACATACATACGCATAATTATACATGTAATTGTTTCCAATCGATTTGTTTATGAAAAATAAAAAATCGACCCGACTGAAACAGTAATCATGATAACTTTTTCAATCACAACCGTGCTTCCACGGACTGAAAAATAATAGAATAACAAAAAAAAAGGAAAATATAAAGACAATAGTACTTCCTTTTTTCCATTTTTTACATGACTTATAAATATGTAGATTAGGGTGCTTCAAACAAAATTTTTAATTTTTTTTCTAACTCTTGAGAATATGAAACGGTTTTTTGGAAAAAATTGTGTAAATTATGTGTAAATTCAATTTAAAACAAAAAAGAACTTTTCCTATGTTAATTAAATGGAAAACTAAAATAAAAATAGCGACCCCTTAGATTTGAGCTATTGGGCTCATGTTTGGCGAGGATTTTTTTATATATCAAATAGAAATATTTGAGGGGGTAAGAGTTAAAAAAATAAAAAATTTGTTTGAAGCACCCTAATGTAGATGTACTAGGTACTATAAATTATTTGATCATTGCTACTAGTAATTAATGAAAACCCTGAAACAATTTAAGAATATATTAGAATACAACAATTAATTTCAAATACTGATTACTACATTTATCTGTATTAAATGTATCAAATTCCTTGCATTTATATTTGACCAATTTTTTTGAAATATTTTTATTTTCAGTTATACTTCCTTTTAATTGTCCTAAGGATTTTACTAGATTCGAGAAAATCTTAGGAGTTATTCCAACCGCTTTTATCGATAAAAAAACATTCTACACAGGTAACACTGATGAACCGGTGACCTTAGAATGTATAATGAAATGTCGGAAAAACGAAACTTGTGCAGGATTTCTTCTGAATTATGAAGTGCCGGCATGCTATTTCTACGAAACAATTACCGATAACGATGGACAGATGACAAACGAAATCGACAATAATATCGTTTGGTTTTCAAAAATATGTGTTCAAGGTAAAAATGAAAAAGCTAGGTGCATAAATTAAAGATAGCAACACAAAAATATAACACTTGCTTCAAAAAATGTCATATTATAACATACGACAAATGTTTAAATTTAAGTATACAGTCGAACTTGGTTATAGCGAACACGGATTACCACCTGTAACTAATGCTTGATTTTAACGAACGAAATTTAACAATCAAAATTACATTCCATTTACACACGTGTTATAAGCGAACGTTTTTGAATGGGAAATTAGCAAGTCCGATCGGTTATAACGACATGCGCTTTATAAAAGTTGGCTTTTTAAGTACCTATCGAAGAAAATCGTCAATAACGAACACCCGACTATACATATAACGAACTAAATTCTCAGCTACTTTTTGTTCGTTATTAGGGACAATACCAGCAGAGAAGCTGTGCAAAGAAGAATGGATTTTCGAAAGAATATCCGGTGCAACATTAATAGGGAATAATACAAAAACACTGCCAAAGAAAGTTACTAGAGACGCCTGCCAAAAAAAATGCTTAGAAGAAAAATCGTTTAGTTGTAGATCTATAAAATTTCGCAAAACCAAAGAAAAGCAAGGCAATATGACTTTAGGAACATGTAGTTTGAGTAGCGCTGATCGTCATGCGATGCCTTTTGCTTACAGGGCTTCAAATTATCAAGACGAATATATAGACAATTCATGTGCTACAGGTAAATCATTTTAAATTAATTTAAAAATATCTATAACAAAGCGTTTTTAGATAATTTTCAGTAATGAACGTATCTACCATAAAATAAGTTAAAATAATTTATCCAGCTATCAAAAAATCTGTAGGTACACTATTTAAGTCGTTTATTCCCCCATTTTTTATTGCTCCAATCGAGCTCAAATTTCCAAATACTACTATTTCTTAATATTTTTATGTATTAATATATAATATTCTTAATTTTCTTTAATTCGAACTTTTTTTGG